TGATAGAGTGCTAGCGCTCAAGTAGTTTGCCAAAGAACGAGCAGTGAGAATGGCGGCGCCAGTCGTTGCATAGGATAAAGTAGAAATCTGCTTATCGACAGCAGGTCACTACAATATAGTTATGACGGGGACATCTATCAAAGAATACAGTATTCTTTGATAGTACATAATAGTATATGATATATTCTGTGTTAGTGCTAAATAAACGATTTTACTTTGGGATCGTCTCTTCTTTTTAAGATATTAATTATATCTTATACATTTTGTTTATTCTTTATTTTTTCTATGATTTAAATTTATTCTTATGTACTCAAACACAATATATATAATCAATCAAACAATCATATATCATTATTATTTCATTGATTTATTTTATTTAAAAAATATACATATATAGATGTCTCAATTCTATTCATTTTTATTTTTATATATTCGGACGACGTGATAAATAAATCGATATACTTTTTTACGAGATTTAAATTCTAATCATTTAGAATTTATGTTATAGATTCTTACAAAGAGTAAATAGGTTTATATGATAATTATATTCGTATTTCGTATAAAACAATTTATTTTTATTTTCATATAAACAAAAATTAAGAATAGTATTTAACCTAAAGCACAGTCAGACGCTCTGAAATGGAAAAAGCATTTATACTTTTTATCAATATTTTTAAGTATGGAAAGAAATGAGGACAAGTTTCTTTCACTTTTGATGTTTTTATACAATCGTATAAAGTATATGTAATACAACCTATTATTGTTTTCAGTTCACCCTAATTGCTCCTTTCTAAACAAGTATATGATATTAAAGATTCTATGATCACCTTTTCATACATTTTATTCTTTTTTTATAGTATTTAAAAAAAGATAACTTACTATTTAACTTCTATGACTAATGTTCTTTGTCACATATTAATGACAGTAAATGAATTTTACAAAAGAATCTCATTTCACTTTTTAAAGCTGAAGTGATTCAGAAAATGCATTAAACAATGAATTAAAAATTGTTAAAGTATTACAACTCTTCGTTTTTAGTTTTAACAGCTTTACCCTTACGGTCGTAGCCTTTAAGCGCATTAGTAGAATGCTTAGCAATATATTTAATAAAGTCTTCTAATTCTCTGCCGCCTTCATATTTAACAGGTTTATCCTTAGAGTCTTTTGGTGCCCAGAAAAGAGTTGGGAATCCTCTGACTTCGTATGGTGCTGGAACATCATTAGCTGTGGCATCGAACTTCACTATTTCAACATCTTCATTAGCCAATTTGTCTCCCAATTCATCAAAAACAGGTGCAAGCTTTTTACAATGACCACACCAAGGAGCATAAAATTCAATTAACGTATCTTTGTCATTATTCGTAACAATTTCTTCGAAGTTCTTTGCTACCGCAACTTTAACATTTCCATTATTATCTTCAGGAATTGGTTCAGATTTCAGATATGGTTCTAATTCTCCAGCTTCGAATGCTTTTACAAACTTTTCAAAGTTATCCAACGAGAATTCTTCTTTAAGAACAAATTTCTGGCCTTGTGCGTCTTTTGCCAGAATAACTGGTTTATCACCTTTTACAAAGTCTATGCCGAAATCATTCAATTCGTGTTGGAAGTCATCTTTGGAAGAAATGGCAAAATTGAAAGAAGGATAATCTTTCGCAACTTTGAGAATCCTGTTACGCCAGTAATTGGTACCCTTAGGATTTTTAACATAATCTACACTGTAGTAAGCAACAATCAATGGGTTTTTAAATTCCGCTGAGTTATCGCGAGTACGAACACCCACAATGCCAAAGCTGTAAAAAAAGAACATTCGCATATATTAATATTTCGTGTATTGCATGCATATTTTCAAAGAACATATTTAGATAATATATATTTACATATATAAAACAAAAATAAACTTACTAGTTTTGTGTGATAAAATTATGGACGTCGTTAATGGTATCACCATTTTCATATTTAACACTATTAGCCTCAAACTTGTTTTGAAGTAATTTTGGCCGATATAAGACAATATTATTCCTGGAAGAATATCAAAAATAAAATATATATTAACAATATTAAATAATAATAAAATTAATAGTTCATAACTGAAATATTTCGTACTCACTTCAAACCTTCTGTTTCTAGTAATTTTTTGGCAGACGTATGAGCAAATCTAACTTTTTCTCGGAGTTTCTTAGAGACAGCATGGAATGCAGCTGACAAAGGCGAATCATCTTTCTCAAAGTAACCTACGACACCTACTTCATTAGAATCTAAGAATGATTTTAGACAATCTTCGCTAACTAATTCTTTTGATGCTGGACCAACTTGTGCCTAGAAAAGTGGTAATGTCAGATAAACATTTATTGACGTATGTATTTATCATATCTGCTTAGATTAAATACAAATAATAAATTACCTTCATATATTTAACAATGCCAGGTGCTTCTCTGGGTCCATTGTAATCTCCAACCAAATCACCATTTGCAAAAATTTTTAATGTAGGATATCCACTGACAGAATGTTTGTTACATGTTTCTTTTCCACTTTCTGTACAATCAACTTTAGCAAATGTGATTGGAGGATCATTACCTATAAGAAGTTCAGCAGCTTTTGCATATTCAGGCTTTAAACGTTTACAATGTCCACACCTAAAAATAAAAAATATTATGGTTTACAATCAAGCAAACAGAAGTAATTAATTTTACTTTTTTTCATTGGGGGAACAAAAATGTATACACACAGGACAATGGATAAACTTAAAAATAAAGAAACCGATTAAATAATGAAATCATTTTTCATTTAATTTATTTAATAAAAAAAAATGCATATTTATGTCTTGCCAAATTTGATACTGTGATAAATAAGATAAATACAAAAAGAAACATTAACAAATTTATCATATCGTATTAAAAGATTTAATTTACATAAAAAGAAGGGTGTCGATGGTTTTATTATAAGTTAAAATAACAAGATAATAATCTAATAATAAAGTGCATTGCCATTAACAATAAGTCCTAAAGTACGATGGCTAGCCGGTATTCGATCTGTGTAAAATTTGACGTTGACGTAAGCTCACTTTTTCATTTAACATTTTTTTCAGAAATAAAAACAATCGATGTTTAACATATTTTATTTTTTGTATGATTTAAATATTTAAAAATAATAGAAACGAGGGTATGATTACTTATTGTTTCTTACCATGGTGCATAAAACATGACAAGTGCATTTTCATGACGTTTAAGTTCATCCGTGAAATCATCATCGGTTAATTCAAGAACGTCACTTTCGGAAGCGTAAACATTTAGAAAAAGGAAGCTAACAAAAACGAAAATTTTAGGTAGCATCGTGAAATTAACAGAGCTTCTTTCTTATCTGTTCCAACACACCTAACTATCGGAGAACTACTGGTTTACGAAGACGTGGCTTCGTTAAAAAGTAGCCACCGAAGCACGAGACCCGGCGCATTGCTGTCGTTCGCTGATTGGTCCACATATTTCTTCTCTCTTTGTCGTATTTATCGGAAATGAACACGAGTACATAGATTGTACAATTACAAAAATATATGACTCTAAGCAATTTTGTAAGTATCTCTAATTGTAAATAAGAGAATGGTGATTAATCGTCATGGTGAAATTCTATGAAATTAAAGTCAATTATTTTTATCTAACATTATTCTATATGATATATTATTGTTTTGACAGCATTATTTCTGTCATTACATGACACTATTTTATTATGTATTTACAAATAACACACTTTGAACTTATTTTTTGTTGAAAAGTAAATGAATATGATACGATATTTATGATGATAGAAATATATTTTATACAGATAGTATGGTGTGTGTATGTGTGGTTGCAATCATTTCATACATTTAATTGTAAGTTCAATAAAAATCTGATCAAATTGAAAATAGAAACATACAATTGTAGAAAAATTTTCAATACAGTGTTTTGTATCATTGTTTTCAGTTTATTTTTATTCTATGATGATATAACTAAGTCTGATAAAAGAATATTTATACATTATTATTTATTATTTAAATGAATTTGATGATTTAATATATTTGTTAATATCTCAATAAGAAAGTTGAAGAAAATATTACAAGTAAGCGGAAACGACAGTAGCGCAGTAGCGGAAATACGAACGAGGATTGACCGAATGTATCCGAGTATTACCGATGTGATTTAGTGACGTCATGCCCAAGCAGAAGAGATAAAGCAGTGAAAAAACTGAAGCTGTGTTTTCTATTATATTGATATTTGTACATCACAATCTCACAAAGTTTTAAAAATGTCGTATGCATACCTTTTCAAGTATATCATTATTGGAGATACAGGTAATTAGTATGGTGTTATAGTCGGACCTCTCCCTTCAACATATTCTATATTTCGCATTAAATATGCCCTGACAGAATCCCTTCGTTGTTTTTGTTCTCTCATAGAATGATGTTTCTATTCGTAGAAATTTTATACTCCAACATTTTTTATTTTTTTTTTATTTTACACTTATATCTATCAATGTTGCATCACGACTGTCAAATTTATTTTTAACTAATATGAACTTTTAAGATGTATCTATTTTATTTGCGTCTAGAACAATAAATAAATACGATAGTTGAATTTATTAGTAGATCTTTTTATTTTTATTTTACGTTTGATGTTATGCCAGTAAGTAACTCGTATGCTATTTCACTTTGACCTCGATTTTTATATACAATTTGACCTTTTTTTTTATATACAATTATTTTTTTTTATGCTTTATTAACTTAAATATATATGTATATCAAATTACGTCGCATTAGTTTAAATTTATGCTTTTCAATCAAAGTCTTGTATCACATTTATAGTAACATTTAATTTATTATTACACAGTACTTATATATTCATTTTTCTTTAATATAGGTGTTGGAAAATCTTGCCTTTTATTGCAATTCACCGACAAAAGATTTCAACCAGTTCATGATTTAACAATAGGAGTAGAATTTGGTGCTCGTATGATTACCATTGACTCTAAACAAATAAAATTGCAGATTTGGGATACGGTAATTATCGCATAAAATTGATAATTTATATTAATTCAGAATTTTTCAAATATAAATGTAAACACATTATAGGCTGGACAAGAAGCATTCCGTTCTATCACACGATCTTATTATCGTGGCGCAGCAGGAGCATTATTGGTATATGACATTACACGCAGAGAAACATTCAATCATCTTACAACATGGTTGGAAGATGCTAGGCAACATTCAAATTCAAATATGGTGATCATGTTAATTGGAAATAAAAGTGATCTTGATTCACGAAGAGAAGTAAAAAGGGAAGAAGGAGAAGCATTTGCCAGAGAACATGGACTTGTTTTCATGGAAACAAGTGCAAAGACAGCAGCAAATGTTGAAGAAGCATTCATTAACACAGCGAAAGAAATATATGAAAAAATACAGGAGGGTGTATTTGATATCAATAATGAGGTAAATATTTATTAATATGAGAGACTTTAGATTTCATTAAACGATGCATATCATTCTATTAATATTATTATCATTTCATTTAATTAGGCAAATGGTATTAAAATTGGACCACAACATTCTCCGACAAGTCCTAGTGGATTAGCAGGCACCGGAGGACAAGGAAATGCACAGGGCGGTGGGTGCTGCTAGGGGCTGGGGGTTGCCTGCCCACCGCTACATCCTTCTCCGATCTGAATCGATCCTTTTACTCCTGCTCCTCGTTTTAATCTCAACCACCGACTTTGTACATTTAATTTTGCGCGCGTCGCATCTTGAGGTAACGAGTGATACAATTGGTATATTTATTATTTGAAAAATATTATATACATGGTAATAGGAGTATTATATAGCAAAAGTGTTATACGTCATTAGAATCATAAAATATAATAAAATCTTAATTTACAGATTATCAGATCAGTTTGTATCATCACAATATTACCTAGTATATTTTGTATACATATACATATATACATGAAAATCCATATAATTCTTACTTTTAGATTTACGTAACATTATTTTTTTATTTTTATCGTTATTTAAAAGTTAATATAATACTTTAATTGAATTCACACACTTTCTCAAAGTCCCATATGTAATGTGCTGGTAATATTTTGATTTGTTTTACTATCAAGAAATGATATTCTCTATATCACTAAATTTAAAGTATTATCACTTTATGCTCATCGCTATATAATGCGATTTACTTCTATCTGTAAAATATGGGAATTAAATATATTTACCATGTTGAGATATTGAACATATTATTGAAGGTGTAAATGTCTTTATCATTGATGAGTAAAGGAGGATGAGAAGGCGGAAGGGATAGGCATTCCTATTCCATAATTTACATTTATTTACTGTCATGTAATATATGTGATGTGCTTTAATATTACAAATTTCATTTATTTAATCATGCATCGTGGATTGGAATAATCGAGTTCGATTGGCTTTAAACAGAAATACAAAATTACACTTGGCTACCTAAGGCGACATTATGTATACGTATGTATTGATGTATAAGATGACGAATATATGAAATATGTAATCCATTACATCAAGAGGCCTATGTAACCAAATTTATATTCTATGTAATGATTATACAAAACCTCACTATTTACAATATTTATATTGTTGTGATTGGTATCATTACTTATGATACATTTTTAAAAGTCAATGATTGATGATATAATGACAGTGAATTTAAATTTTGCAGATTTTTCTTTTTAATTGGAGAACATTTGTAGTACTATACAATCTAAAGAGTTAAGTACATAGAGTGCATTCGTAAATCTTAACCAAAGATATTGATTTAGACATATTATGGCATAATACTTCTAAATGTATCCTATTCGAACAAGGTCCAAAAATATCATATTGTACATTATTATTTCTATTGATGTATGAATATTCAACTATACAAGGACAAAAAAGAATAAGTATATGTAAAATGTGCATTAACAGAAAATATAGTCTTTTATTGCATTATATTTATGGAAAATTAATTAGATCTGATGGAGACATCGTAATATTAGTTGAATATTCCTTAACTAAAGTGATAAAGAGATTTTAAATCATGTGTAGAATTTGGATTTGAACATTGAATACACTTTGAATTTCACAAAAGGATAAGTGTCACGAAACTGAAATATCGTATTGTATGCATTTATTTTACCATTATATAATTATGGCAATTAAATGCACATGTTAATAGCGTTTTTGAATAATACTTTATTTTTATTTGTACATATAGAGTATATTTGTTGAACAGATCCAATACCTATACATGATCCAAAAAGTATCATTTGACGTTAGTATTAATGGGTTAGCTATGTACTTCTTCTTATATCTGTGTATCTCTTTGTTATATATATATATATATTTTTTTTTATAATGTAACAAAATATTTTGTGATTGTAACAAAGAATATTTTAGCACTGTATACTTTTATTATGCTTATATGCTATAATGATTAAATGATGTAAGTTAATTTTAGAAAATATATCTGAATATTATCCTCTAATAATTAAAAACCAATAAATGTCAAGAAATTTGACATTTAACGCTTATAACATATATATATATATGTATGTATATATATATATATATATTCCTATTTAGAAGAAAATCATATCATCTGTTCTGCGCGAGTCTTTTCCTTTGAGTACTTATATGTGTCATAGGATTATTCATTTGATATACGTTCAAATAAATTCCGTGTGACGCAGCTGACCTGACCTGATCCACAGCTGATTTGCCGATACGTTGCAATCGCACTGTTGCGCTCGCAATAGAAAACGCTAGAGAGAGCGGCATGTCGTGAGTTGAACGTGAGCGGGCTTCGTTAAAGCAAGAGCGTTGTTTGCTATTCTTTTAAACGTATTCGCGCTCCTCATAAAGTACTGCAGAAGGGTTATCATTGCAGATGTATCTTCCATAAGGCGGTGAAGCATTATTTTGGAGATTCCTTTGACATACTGGACATTAGCTAACGTGCTGCGTCGTAAAGACGCAACTAGGCGCCATGATGGTAGGTGGAACCTGTTATCACTTGGCCGGTAGGCTATTGAATTTTCCACGCGTTTAATTAGTTGGAACTCTGGCATTGTTCGTTCCCTTTAAAAAAAAAGGAGATCTGCAGTATTTAATAAGCGAGAAATGTTGCAGGACGGAATATGCGACACTACCGACATTTTAAACAGCGTGCCTCCGAAAAAGGTATTTACATCTTTTATTCTTCCTATTGTTAATATAACATTTCTATTTCTTTGCATATTTTCAAAACTTTTTATTCGTTTAGATAATTATTCTACTCGAATAATGTCCTTGAGTTAACATTATTGCCCTTTTCAGACTATTCATGCTGATAGCGTAGATCTGCCAGACAAGCCTTTGCGAGTGGACATATCTGATGCTCTCAGCGAGAAGGATAAAGTGAAATTTACTGTACACACTAAAACTTCCTTGCCTGAATTTCAGAAGCCAGAGAATTTGGTTGTAAGACAGCATGAGGAATTTGTCTGGCTTCATGACAGATTTGAGGAAAATGAGGAGTACGCTGGATATATCGTATGTATTCTATTTCATTAATATGATAAATTATCTCCTTTGAGTTAACCTTATCTTTGTTAAAAGTAAATAGTAACTAATGTGACTTCATAGATTCCACCATGTCCACCAAGACCGGATTTTGATGCATCACGTGAAAAGTTACAAAAATTGGGAGAGGGCGAAGGTAACATGACAAGAGAAGAATTTAACAAAATGAAGCAAGAATTAGAAGCGTAAGTTACATATTCATTCAAATAGAACGCTCAATTATATTTTTGGGTAATACTTCTAATAAATATGTGATCCTTACAGAGAATATTTGGCTACTTTCAAGAAAACTGTTGCTATGCATGAAATGTTTCTAACAAGACTAGCACATCATCCAGTTTTTCTAAATGATCACAATCTTAGAGTATTTTTAGAGTACGATCAAGATCTTTGTGTGAGAGGTAAATATTTCTTTAGTTTCTTGTACTCTTCTGATATTAACTTTGTAATATTAACAGCGTTAAATGTTGTCTTTGTTTTTAGGAAAAAATAAAATGGAAATGTTTGGTGGTTTAGTGAAATCTTTTTCCAAAACCACAGATGAATATTATCTGCAGGCAACTGTTAAAGATGTAAATGACTTTTTTGATCAAGAAATGACATTTCTGCAATTGTATCATCAGAATTTAAAAGAAGCAACGAGTCGTTCCGATCGTCAAACTGCTAAGCATAAAGACGTAGCCGATTCGTATATTAAAATATCTACTAATCTTTTACAATTAGCTACGATAGATCCTGGTAAATTAGAGAAATTTTTAACAAAGATTGCTGAAACGTTTGAAAAATTACGGGTACGTTTCTATACTTCCAAGTAACAATATTAATGTCACCTTTAATTTTTGTATCTTCTTAAATTTTTTATTGTTTTTATGATTTTGCAGAAGGTCGAAGGACGAGTAGCATCCGACGAAGATTTGAAATTGTCTGATACGCTTCGTTATTATATGAGGGATACTGCTGCAGCGAAAAAGCTTCTTTTCAGAAGGTTGAAAGCTTTACATGCGTACGAATCTGCGAATCGTGCTCTTGAAAAAGCTCGTGCCAAAAATAAGGATGTACATGCAGTGAGTACATATTTAATCCGAATTTAATATAAAGTAAGGTGAAATTAAGTATTGATAGAAAATTCTATTTATAGTTATTAGATAGAAATGTTCACACATTGAAAACATTTATTTATTCAAAAAAAGTTTCTTCAGTATTCTTTCGTTTTTACGATCAAATTGTATATTAATAATAAATAAATTAACAGCGACAAAAATTTTAACATAAATAGGGAAAACATATGTTTATAATGTTATTTAAATATAGCGTATCATATTCTCTAATAATAAACAACTTAACTTTTTCTTGCACTTCAAGGCACTGGAAGTTGCTGAGGTGTGTCTCTCTTCATTTGTGTCATACATACATTGTTTTGCTATATCGCTTGATGATCTGAATTGCTATATTTGCGAGTTATATTATCTCTTTATTTTTTTTTTTAAAGATATAAATTACATAGATATATATATTCCATCGAAATTGATCGGATACTTTACATGGACATTAATAGAACCATTTTCATATTTTATAGATATGAGAAGCGGTACACGAAGTATTTATGATGCATACAAAATATTCTTTGCACAATTATCCTGCTAGAGTAATAATCAATTATTATGTAGTAGTTTACAATTAACGAGAATATATTTATATTTATTTTTATTAAACTATTTAAAAAAGTGAATTTTTTTGAACAGATTTACTTTTTAAGCAGGAAATTAATTTAAATATTGCACAAAAGCAGAGACTGCATATAAATGTTATGCATGACTTAATAAACTTGCATGTTGTTATTTAAGGATTTACAGAATTATTATGGGCATACACGCATATATGTATTGTACATCATGATTTTTTTCAGTATTATTAGTTTGAAATACAAATTAGAGCGTATAATACAGTTAAGTCTTCTATCTTTTATTGTGATTTGTAAATGATGACAATGTTTGTTAAGAGTGATTTATTTATTAGAAATTATCACTGATATTTAAAAAGGAAGACATACTTTAATCATTATTATATATAATATAGACAATGAATTAGTGAATTATGAATGAAATTCATTTGTGCACTAAAGTTATATATTTTTGTTAATTAAGGCAGAACAAGCTCAAACCGAGGCGTGTGAAAAATTCGAACAAATGTCGGAAAAGGGTAAAAAAGGTATGTAATTTGTATGTATAGTGTGTCATATATATTTATAGCATTTCAAAGTAAAATTATTTATTTCAGAATTAACGGATTTCAAAACGAGGCGTGTAGCAGCATTTAAAAAGAACCTTATCGAGTTAACTGAACTTGAAATAAAACATGCTAAAGTTAGTGTTTAATTTTATATACATAAAGTAAATAATACATATCTTCAAAGATAATTAACTTAGCATTTATTTTTCAATAGGCGCACGCAGAGTTGCTCAAGAAATGTCTATCCGTACTTCGGGAGGAGTGATCCAATTTGTCAGTTGCCATGGCTAAATCTGTTATGCGTTCTGCATACAGATAACAACTTATTTACAGTTATTATAATTTAATGATACTGTAAAATATTATATATTTTTTGTTATCTAGATATATTATATACTACGAATTAAAGTTCTAAATTACCACAGCTGC